CAGTCTGGGGGCTGAGGAGCTCACCCTGAGGGCCGTCACGGCTTGCTCCAAGCCAAGGGCTGAAGACAGCCTGCCCCGGGCAGAGGGCCATGACAGCTTGCCCCGAGCTGAGGGCCAAAGACAGCCCACAACAGGCAGGGGGGCGTGATGGCTTGCCCCAGGCCAGGGGCCGGTCTTTACTCTTTTTACAATTTTCATTCCTTTTTCTTTCTGCTTTTCATTCTAACAAATAAGTGTTGATGGCTCTTTTTTTTTGTGTGTGTGTCACTGATTCTGTGTCCCATCTCTCTGATTTTGTTCATCTGCATCTCCAACATATTAACAGCTTCTGAAATATTGTTCTTATTATTCTAGATTATTGTTTCTTGTTAATTATGGTTTCTAGTGCTTCATTGGATTCATCTGCTTTGTCTTGTATTGGTTTTTTAAAAGTCACTCTAGAGTTTCACTTGTAGTTTCTTGAAATTCTTTGTATTTTTCTTTTAACTACTCTTATACTTGAACTAAGTGTCAGGATATTCTATGAGAATTTCTTCTTCCATGATATCCATTGATTCATTATTTTTTAATCTCTCTCTTTTTAAGTAACACCATACTTTGCTTTTATGTAGTGTTTAAGGTATTCTGCTACTTCCATGTCATTGTGGTGATGATATTTTTAGAAAGACAAAAGAAAAGAGTTCTGTTATATTCTGCTTCTTAGAGGTCTGGTAATATTAGACTTAGTTCTCCTTCAGGATTGCAAATGAAAAAGAGGCTTCGATTTTTTAAAACTTTATTTCAATTTTTTTTTTTGTATGTGTACCATCCAATCAGATCTGATTGGTACAGGAGGAGATTGCACCTCCTTCTCCAACACAGTATCTGATGGATTTGAACAACATATCTCTGGGATTGCAGTGCAGCTTCTTGCCACTAGGCCATCAGAGCTCTGGTTTTATAGAGAGTTGTTTATTTGTTTGTCCCCTTTGTATATTTTGAAATAGAACTCCAATGGTAAAAGGTTACAGCCCTGATGTATGTTGTTCTTAATTTTAAATCATGTGGAATTCCATTGTTCTATTTACACAACAGATTCTTCGGTTCTAATTACTTTGTAGCTTAAGTATCTGTATTCTTATGTACTTAGAAATTTCATTATTAGCTGAATACACATTTAGACTCATTATGCCCTCTTGATTGAAATAATAATGTATTATGTCCAATATATTTTGTTTTATCTTAGGTAATACCCTTCATTCTGAAATTTACACTGTATGATATGAATATAGCTTTGATTCATTT